CTTCCGAGAAACATGCAAAACGGGACGGAAAACATGAAATTTTGCAATAATCTTGCGCCACCCTTGCACAAAACGACGATCATTTTTCTAATTTCTTAGATAAATATGCCCTGTATATTTACCAGCTAAATATACGTCGCCTAGACAAGGACAAAAATACCGCCAGTCAACTGGTTGCCTAAAATATGAGCAGGGTCCACAGGTCACAGAGTCGGTAATCTGTGGCGACTGTCACTGGGGATTGTCTTCACAGAACATACCCCCTGGGGGGGATATTTTGTGATTGTCTTTAACAATGGCGTCAAGCAGTTGCTAACCAACAAACATGGTTGTTAAGTAAACTGCATAAACGAATCTTCATAACTTTGGCTTATTGTAGAACTTATTAGGCAAGTTGGTTTTCTGCAAGCGTTGCCCTTTGCCTGGCATTGCACCAGTGGGGCCATTTTCGGTTGCAGCTTAGTTAGCAATTATTGACATTCTGGGGACTTGTTCCAAGGGTAAATTTACCAAGACAAGATGGGCCGGAAATGTAGTGTGGAAAATTGTTCATCCGATTCCACGAAATCTGAGCATATTGGTGTGACATTTCACAAGGTGCCTCATCATACGGATGTACGCCCCAAATGGCTATCACTTTGCCGTATTTCTGAGCATCGATCCAAATCCAAGCTGCTGTATGTGTGTTCGCGACACTTTTTGCGCGCTGATTTTTGCAGCTTTAAAGGCAGAAAGTACATGCTGAAGCAGGGCGTGTTGCCTAGTGTGTTTCCATGGGATAAGTCCAGATTGGAAGCGATCAAAGCTGAAGTTTCTGTGAGTAAAGATGGGGAACCTACGAAAAAAAGAGCCAGAGCTGGACGAAAGAAGGAGGCTAAACCAAAGCAAGTATGTGCGACGGAGTCTGGCCCTGGAGAAGAGAATCTAGAGCAGGACATTAAGAAAGAGTGTGAAGATCCTGATGAAGCTGCTCCGGAGGCTGATCTAGCCACCAACGTTACAGGCGATATAGTGTCTAGTATGGAATCAGATGAGCCTCAAGAGGAAGAATTCAAAGCTGAGCCCTTAGACAAGGACGAGATCAACGAGAGCACGAATCTTTTTGACGAACATCAAAGTTCCCAGTCCACATCTCAACAAGACTCTCCTTCAATTGACTTTAGTATTAATTCGAGCATTGAAGTGCTGGATAACAACAATATCTGGCATGTAGCTAAAATCAACGAAGTTGATTACGAGGAAAACGAGGTTCTGATCCATTTCGAAAACTCCGTCAACAAATGCGATGAATGGATTTCCATGTCAAGTCCCAGGCTCAGACCCATATACGTGGAGCCCCAACAAATCTTCGATGTCGGTGAGCGATGTATGGCTATATGGAGTGTTTCCAAAAAGTTCCCTGCTTCCATTTCGAAAAAACTAGATAATGGTATGTCGCTTTACCCACTACAGATAAACCAATCTTTATAATTATTGATTGTAGATTTCTACGAATTGCTATTTGATGATGGTTATGTCAAAGTGGTTAATGCTAGCAAAATGTCCAAGATAAGTCTAGCAAAGCCAGCGCAATCATCACCGCTGTTCGATCCAATAAAAAGCACCAAGCAGGAGAGGAGAGATAAAAAGAGGAAGATCAATGTTGCTGCACTATTTGCCAAACGTATTCGTCTCAACAACACCGAGGAGAAAAAAAGCAAGGGAAGCCCCGCTCCAGCAGCGCCAGTGGAGGAAGCCAACAAGTCACCAGCCTCTCAGGACGAAGCCCCAAATACAAATCAGGCTTTATCAGTTGACAATTGGCATCCAAGGTACCTTAGTTTTACACCAAAAGGAACAACCGTCTGAGAGTTAAGCATTAAAAAATTTCCCGAATAGTCGTCCAATCTGGAACGTACCCAGATAGCACAAAATATTACATACATATTTAGGAAATATTTATATGTTTGCTAAATATTTTACAGTGTTGGCAAAAATTGATTTTTATTAAAAAAATAAAAAATCACTGATTTATTTAAATTAATCAAAAACTTATGATTTGTTTGATTTTTATTAAATCAATTGATAAATCCGCT